GAAACTATAAGATAGGAAGAGCTTTTTCGTCCGAAATAAGGGATTATTAATCAATTGATGAGTTCTTAATTAGCAAGGCCAGGCAGGACTGCACCGTGTTCTGAGTACAAAAGCTGTTGGAAATGATCAGCTTTAACTACTGGATCTTTGAATACGGTGGCCTCAAAAAGCAAGCGGATCATTTACAGGAGTACTGGCAAGAAAGGGACAACTGGAGAAATAACCAGCTGCCACAGTGATTCCACAAAACCCAAAAAGGACTACAGGACATTAAACTTGACTAAGTTTTTTATACAGAGGTCGAATTACTTGCTAAAAGAAATATGCCTATCGAAAGTCAGAGAAACACAGGCCTCTATGACACATAGAAACCTAAGTGAAATACTAAGTTGAAACAGATCTAAATCAAAATGGGGTATCTATCTCCATAGATCACTTGCAAGAGTGTTGACTATTCATGTTGTGTTCACTGTTCTAGATGGGCTGTATGGCCTCCCATTTTCACACTAAATCACTCGAGTATTTGAGTTCTTGCAGTTTTAAATACACACATGCTGGCACTTCCCTTCTGCCACTAGAGGGAGCCAAAACCGCTTCTGTCCAATAGCAACCGTTCTTTTGGGAAACTGCGCTCCTGCTTACTTTATAGCACTGACAAACTCATCTTTAAGTCGCAACAAAGTTTTGGCAGTTTTGAAGTTTCTTTGAATAACTCAACAGTTATTGTCATAGAAATGTGGGCAATTTGTAATTCCGTATTTTTCCACAAGCCAGAACTTAATTTTGACAATCAACCTTGAAAATCCTGGTTGTCAGAAAAGCATGTCCATGATCCCATGGAGGGTGGTTAAGTCTCACCCACCATGTGCACATTACAAATTATAATCAAAATGTATAGTCTTTGCTATTAAAGGGGAAAAAAACCCACAAAATCCCCTTATACACCGCGAGACGCTCGAGCTTGTCTGAAGAGTGTTCGGGCGAGGTCACCTTTTAGGGTTCTCTTCATTGCCTTTGTCGTGTTCGTGCTTGATCATCTTGTAGCGGCCCACCTGCACGGAGGGCCGGGAGATCAGCATCCCGCTTAACGCCACCCTGAAAGAGAAAGACAGGCAAATAAAGGATCTTTAATGACCAAGTCATCAAGACCTTGGATTATTGTCCATAGGACAGCAGCTCTACAACGCAGAGTCCCTGATCACCATAAAGAGGTGCTGGTCTGGAAATTCTCGTCGGAGGGAAAAGCTTCACTGATCATCACTTACTGCAAACATTTGTTTTTTCCTTAAAGGTTTCCTATTCCAGTACTGACTAGGACCAGCCTTGCTCAGCTTCTAAAGATCACCTACAAGGTGGCAATGCACTTGTCAATAAGAATAAGAATAGCTGATACTTATATAGCGCTTTTCTGGACACTCCACTCAAAGTGCTTTACAGGTAATGGGGATCCCCTCCACCACTACCAGTGTGTACCTCCACCTCGATGATGCGCCAGTCCGCTCCCCACACACCAGCTCTCAGTGGGGAGGATAGCAGAGTGATGGAGCCAGTTCAGAGATGGGGATTATTAGGAGGCCATGACTGGTAAAGCCCAGGAAGAAATTGGCCAGGACAGTGGGGTAACACCCCTATAGTTTTCAGGAAACGCCCTGGGATTTTTAATGACCACAGAGAGTCAGTACCTCGGTTTTACGTCTCATCTGAAGGACGGCGTCTTTTTACAGTCTAGTGTCCCCATCACTATACTGGGGCATTAGGACCCACATGGACTGCAGGGTGAGCGCCCCCTACTGGTCCCACTAACAACTTCCAGCAGCAACCTTAGTCTTTCCCAGGAGCCTCCCAGCCTGGTACTGGCCAGGCTCACAGCTGCTGAGCTCCAGTGGGCTGCCAGCTGCGAGTGGCAGGGTGATATGGCTGCTGGTAAACAAGTAATCAAGGAAGCAACCTGATACACCGTTCATCCAGTTCCTGCGGGTTCTGACTCTGTGGGGAATTTAATCTTTCCGTGCGGACACTGTCCGCATTCCACACCAGGAGGATTTGCACAGCTGCTTTTCCAACAGCTGTACCAGCAGCTGAACGATTAAGAACTTTTTGCCCTGGTTTCCCCCCCAATACCTCCCTGATTTCGTTTTATTTGCACTTGCAGGATGCCAAAATCAATTTAAAAAACAAATAAAGGTGCCAATTAGTGTAGGGCGCAAGGAAAGCTGGAATTCGAAAAGAAACACAGAATCACACCGAAGGGCTGGTGAAACACAGACAAGGAGACACGACTTGTGATGCTGAAATGTAGTGACAGCCGCAGCTGAATATCTGAACACCTGTCCTTTTTATCTGGGCAAAGACTGCTCTGATGCACTCCCGAATGATTGCAGGAATCATCCCATCAAGCTTTGACAAGAGGGCTCGTCACAGGATAGATTGAGAGTCTTTTTACTCTTACTCAGACGTAACACTCCATGCTAAAGTGGCCCAGATGCCTGCGTTATTAATTACTGTTCTACTGGCTCGGCACACAGTACTTATTGTTCCTTCCCCTGCTGACACATTCAGGAGCTCCGTCCAAGAGCTGTCTGTGCTGCTTGCTCAAATAATTTCAGCGCATCAGGAAAATAAGGTCTTGAGTTTCTAAATCCATGCTGGTTCTCGTTGTGATTTCATAATCAATCTTCTAGTTTAGCACAAATTATAATTTCTGTAACTTTACCGGTGTCTGAAGATGGACTGAGTTGTCTACAGTTTCATGAACTGCTGTTAACATTTGTATTCTCTGAACTATGGGTACCTATCTTTGTTGTCTATGAATAAGACTCCTTAGTTTCTTAAGCACGACAGAGGAAAGACCATCAAGCATCATGCTAAAAGTGTCCTAAGGTGACCAAGCACAGAAAGGAGAAGAAAATCACTTTCCAATCATTGTTCAGAACCAGCTGTTTGTCCCTGATCTGTATAATTAGTCCAAATCTTTTCTAGAAATATTACAAGCAGGTATAGAAAGAAAGAACTTCAGATAGATCTATCTTTTGGGGAGATCCATTTAAATTCGGACAAGGGGTACGTCACAGAGATGAGTGAAGAATGGACAGCTGAAGAGTCAGAGTGAAAAAAAAGAGTCAGCTGAAAGAATGCTCAAAGAAACCAAATGCTTTCTAAAAATGAGTATGAGTGGTTCCTCTGCAGATCTTCATTTATAAATGGTGCTTCGTGATCTGTGATGTCGTGACAGTCTTTTCATTCCAAATTCATAATCATTTCACACTTATGTCAGGGTACCTTACCTAATAATGTTCCAGCATGCTGCTGATGTTATCTGTTGTAAAAACCTGGGTAATACATTCATTTAGCATGTGTACTATTTCTTTATCATCGTTAAATAATCTCCTATTATCTCAAATTATTTACTACTGCTTTCACAGTTCTGTTACAGTCCGAAACATTTTTTCTGCATTGCTGTTCTGCTGTTGTCTTATTACATTTCGTCTCCCTCTGCAATTTTAATGTTTTGCTGCTGTGCGCAGTATCCAAATGTTCTGTTTGTGAATCTTAGGCCCTTTAACACAGTATGCTGACTGTTCTGTTCCTCCTGTCTTTTTCCTTAATGTCTCCATTACTCCATCAAGGCCATACTTTCCTCATTTATTTTGGATGAATTTATTCTGAGCTTTTAACATTGTTTTTGAAGTACGACCAACCTTCTTCTATCGATTCGGTACCCATCTGCTCTTCATTTAGCAATAGTCAGCTCAGCCTCATTCCTTCATAGTCTGCTTCTTGCAAATTATAAACCCTAATTTAATGCACATGTTTTAGAGATATAAAGTATGATTTATATTGTCCTTTATGCATAGTGTATAATGGAAGCAAAAATGCACAAAAAAAAGCAGTTTGTATATTTTGTAAAAGCATTCAACTGCAGAGATTGTGAGTGTCATAGTTTTGACAACAGTACCCACGGTTGATTTTTAACAATTTTCTGTATCCACTGGAATGCCTGCAGCACAAAGTATGGGGCACAAACCTAGCGCAAAACACCCAGAAAAAAAAGGAGGAGGCACAAACAACTCAGAATCCCAAAGTTGAGCCTTGTAGAAATTGCAGGATATGATACAGCTGCCAAACATTGGGCTGATGTCACATGAGCAGCAGAGCTGAGAGAAGACTGAAAATGGGTCCATTTCTGGGCGATGTATTACTTATGACAGCTATGCTCTGTATCCCTAGAATAGGTGGTACAAAATCAAGGCAGCCGTTATTTTCCCCTGAGACAGAGCTACACTAACAAGAATGATAAGGTGCTGGAGCTGGTAAGGTGCTGTAAACTTTACATTAAGTAAAAACTCATTTCTACAATGAAAGAGCTGAACACTAAGGGATCTTGTGTACAACGTATGCAGGAGATGACAAGAAGGGGGTGCATAAATTTTGGGGTGGAAATTTCTTACCTGACGGCGATGTCATCATCCTCCCCTCCCCAGCCCCAGTAGTTGTTGGGAAAACCGTTCATCTTCAAGTACTGCTCGGGAGTCAGAGCAGACACCCCCCCGAAGTAGGTGTTATACGGCAGCCTGAAAAAGAACAGTCAGCAAAAACCTCCGTGAAGTTCAAAGGGCCTTTCTCTCATCCTACTAGGACAGGTGTCCGATTTACATTGGACGAGGGCGGTCCTGGATTTCTCAGTCAGAGGACCACAACGCAGCTAAATGAAACGGGAACGCCGAGAGACAGACAGAGGCAGCCCACCTGGGAGACAGGGTGGGCCAGACACGCCAACAGACCAGTTCCGGTCAAGGCAGGTGAAAACCCGCAGGTAAGAGAAAGAGACAAGAGACTGACTTGTATCCAAACTTGTCCATGGCGATGGAGACGTGCTTGGGGTGGCGGTCGCAGGTGTAGAGGTTGCGGTCGTCCTCGGGGATGAGGTCCACGTCGTGATAGAACATGCAGGTCCACTCCTCCTCCTTCATGGCCTCCTTGAATCCAACATTCAGCAGCTTGGCCCGATTGAAGGTGTAGTTCCCTGCCTGAGGGACAGAGGGCAGCAGCACCCATTATAACTGGCAACTCTCTCGCAAAACGTGCCCACTGCATTCCCTGCCTCAGCCACAGGAAGATCGCCTCCGAACTGCTGTTTCTTTATTTTTACCCCCATCCAGGGAAAACAACACAAAAGATGGAGAAAATGTGGATGGGCTGCTCAATCAAGGTGGCCTTCATTTATTCCCCGCTGGGAGAGACCTACATTAACAGGAATGACAGGGCGCCACGCCTGGGATTAACGCGGCTCACACGTAACAACGCAAGCCTCCGGCTGCCTCCAGAAATCACTGGTGTCCACAGGGAAACCGGCTGACTCCGACAGCTGGTGGTGCAGCTCATGAAAATAGACCGTTAATGACTTACCTAAGATCAGAGCCTGTGATCTCAGGACAATGGGAATGAAATGAATCACTCGGGAGCCCACCGAGAAAATTACAATGGATAAGTTCAAACCCGATTTCCAGACCTCCAACAGCTTCTGCACTTGGTTCTGATGCCAATCAAAACCCTTTAGGTGAACTACTTGCTTTGCTACAGATTTCCTCATTATTCTCAGATTCTAGAACGCTGAATGGAGGCTGCTTCCCTCATTTCTCATTTAGCTGTATTGTTCCAATGAAAAGGCCCACAGAACTTAAGCAATTGAGCCAAATCAGCATTAGACACAAAGAGCTACCGGGTAGGAACAATTTATTAAATAGGCCGAGGGCATTTCACGAACCAAGCAGTGCAGAAAACAGCTAATTAAAAAGAAGCTCATTTAAGGGTCAATTTTCTCTAATTAAAAAAGGAGAGACCCAAAGGATTCAGACAGACGGGGCTGAGAGAAAATACCTGCTGAATAAACTTGGGTTTACAGGAGTGGCACACAGCAATTGACCACATTCCCTACGTATGGTATGTCCAGGCCTGATCCTGGAGAGCCCCAGTCCAGCAGGTTTTGTAGTTGAGCATTAAATCACTCATTTCTGAAGATCCCTTGGAACAGTTCCTTTCTGAGTACTTAAGCAGGCAATTTGTTAAATTAATTTAGAGAACATTCTGGCCTAAATTCCAGGTACTGTTTAGCCCTCATGAGCCAGATTTCTCGTAATTAAAAAAGATTGCTTGATTGATTCATCAGTACCTTTCAGATGTTGCCAATCTTTAAAAATGAGTGACCTATCAGAGTTATTGGTTTGGGGCTTCCCAAGACCATAGTGGAGATCCTCTGATTTAAGGGAAAAAGGCTGCATTGTCTCAAAAAACAAAGGGTGTGTTCATGGCTCAGTTAAACGACACCAGCTTGAGTACAACCTATTTATAAAGGTTAAAAAAAACTCTCAACTACCCAGGGAATATCCAGGAAGGGGACAAAGCTTCCTTAAAGAAAAAGGACATGTAGCTCAAAAGATAAGTATTATACAAACTAAATAAGATATAAAGCACTCAAACCACTACTACAGAAAATGAAGGAATTCTGAAAGTTGATTACTGTACATCAAATCTTTTCTTCCAACACTGACCACTTCCTACAGCCAGATGTTGACATCAATCTGTATACTTCATGGGTGAGTTGGAGTGAATGTGAGTTAAAATACATCCCTCGGATCCTAACAAAACGCAGCCAAAATAATCAGAGTGAAATACTGCCTGGAGGATTAAAAACAGTTCTGCCAATATAACAACCCAGCTCCTCTTGTGAAACCAAGTTCTTTCGGTGCTCAGCACCCGATACGTTTTGGCTCATCAAGGAAAAACTTGCGTCTCTTAACCTGCTTTAGATTTTATCAAATATTTTTTTATAATATAAACAAATAAGCATGTAGAATATTCATTAAATACTTCAATTGTAAATTATAGGGTGGCATGATAGCACAACGGTCAGCACTGGTGGCCTGCAGTGTTGGGGACCTGGGTTCAATTTCTGGGGTGCTGTCTGTTTGGAGCTTGTATGTTCTCCCTGTGTTGGCGTGGGTTTCCTCCCACAGTGCAAAGACATGCTGGTGGGTTAACTGGCTTCGGGGAAAACTGGCCCCAGTGCGTCTGTGTGCGTCTGTGTGCGTCTGTGTGCGTCTGTGTGCGTCTGTGTGCGTCTGTGTGCGTCTGTGTGCGTCTGTGTGCGTCTGTGTGCAACTGAAAACGGATGGATGGATGGATTTGAAATGACAATAAAGGGCACTACAGATGCATTTTAAAGACGGTGTTTTCAGAAATTGGCATTCTCAGATATTTAGCACACGCCTGATGTTTTCAAACTGGACTGAACTCTGCTCATGAGGGGTGTTCAGCTAAGCCCCCCCTCCCGGCTCCCCGGCCAGCCCCTGCGCCCCCGTACTCCCGCCCCCCACCTGGTGGATGACGTAGATGCCGTAGTTGAGCTGCTGGCGCTGCAGGAAGGGATGCAGGTAGTAGAGCAGGTACTTCAGGTGATGCTCCCGGTTGCGGTGGGGGATGATGACGGCAGTGCGGTGCTTGGACTCGCAGTCCGGGGGCCTGTAGCGCCCCCCGCGCACCACCAGCGGGTTCTTGCGTTTCACATCCTCTAAGGTCAGCTTGGACGGGAAGGTGACCCGGAACGGACCGCCTGGAATACAGGAGAACAAAAGAAACCAGAGGAGGCATTTAGTAGAGACCTGATCCAAGGATGCCATGTAGGCGTTTCAAAACAGGGTATTGGTATCCACAGCATGGCTGTGTAGCTTGTTCCACACTCCCGCACGCCTTTGTGTAAAGAGGTGCCCTGTCCTGACTGGAGGATCTCAGCTGGCTGTTTTTTTTAAAGAATCCAGGGTATCGGCTTCTACAAAGTAGCTGGGTAGCTTGTTTCCTACTCCCACAACTCTTTGGGTAAAAAAAAAGGGGCTTCCTGTTTGGGGTTTTAAATGCACTTCCAAATAGTTTCGCCTTGTGCCCTCTGGTTTGCGTATGAGGGGTGGGAAGAGTCAGACGCTTCGCCATATCCTAGTCACTTTCGGCAGGAGAAACGAACGTCCTCCCGTTATGGTGGTGCTTCAAGTTCTTATAAGATTGAGAGTCTGGCCATCAGAATTTGCACAAAAAAAAAACACTCACAAAACTCCAGATAATCAGAATGTCGATGAGCTTTTAGCGGTGCGCAGAACAGGTGGGACCATGCGTGTCCAGGTTTGTGTTTTATCTTGCGTATTTATTGTTGCTGTCATCCTGTAAAGCGCTTTGAGAAGCCACTTTTAAAGGCGCTATATAAAATAAAGTTTATTATTATGATGATGTTGAAAGGATACGGAGAGGAACACACAATGCGCACAGGAAAAAAAAATGACCGCGACAGAGGAGGGGTGAAAGACCATGGAGGTCAGAGGATTACGTTTGGAGATGCGATAGCCTTTTTTAAACGGGACATCCCTTTTAACACTCTGTGACTAATCCGAGGAAGAGATAACAGAGCCGCACAATGCGCTGGGACAGGAGCCCAGGCTTGGCCGCCTGCCAGGGGCGCCATGTGTCTGCGATTTATTTCTGTCACACAAGCAGACGGACGGCATGAGGGAGAAATTTGTATTCATCTGTCTGTGCTGAGAAACGGGCCTGACTGATCGCGTTACAGAACGGGCACACTGTTGCCCCTGCCAGGTCTCTGGAGAAAGAGGAGCAGTTACCAGAGTGAATCCCTTTTCGGTGGGAGGGCTGTCAATTCTCAGGAAAGCAGGATACAGACACTGGGGCATCTTCTTTACCTGCAAACACAGGCCATCCGATTCTCCGTGGAAAGGGGTGGGAAGAGTCGGTGGAAGGCAATCACACGGGGCTCACTGGTCTCGTGAAGTGGATTGATCAGTTTCCGATAACCCATGGTTTCCAGCACAAGTCCCATTGCAATAAAAGACACAAGGGCTGTAACAGCAGCTACCCAACTCCAGCACAATAGACGCTCTGTCTGCTGGGCTGCACTGCATGACAGAACGTCTGGCCTGCAATGGACTGTACACCTTAGCATCCTTCTTTTTTCTTAATCCCCCTGGTTTAGTCGAATATCTAATTAGTCCAAGCAATACAGCATTGCTCTCCTCTGTCCATTTCCCTCTGGCTCCTTGCCACAGCATGTGGTTGCTTATTTTCTGTTTAAGGCAGTCACTGCATAAAGTCTGCGACCAGACTGTGTTTCAGTGTCTGTCTCTGAGCTTACATGCCAGAGCTCGTCTTAGCTGTGTTTCGGCTTGCCATATGGTCAGACGTGTCCATACTAGTCAGGGCCTCTGATTGCTGCTGCTAAACTTCAGCGTCAATGGGCACTGATCCGGAGGAACAGCTGTCACACGCGTCCCACCCCGGAGAAGGCACATCTGGCCAGATGTCAGGGATCGGTACACTGATCTTCCGTCCCGCAGCTCTGCACTGAAAACAAGATCCAGAAGAACACGGCCGTCACGGAGCAGCACATCTGCGATCTGCTTGGAAAAGCAGCACTCCGGTTTCCACAGTGCCTTTTTACCCACGCTCCGGGGGGGCGTAGGGGATTTATGGGATTAAAAACGTGGGTGTTTATGTCTGATGCACTTCATCATCGGAGCCAAGGAGTACATCTGTATGAGGAACCGTGCAAACTCATTTGGAAAGTCAGACTCGCAGTTATTTAGCTCAATTCACCCCGAATCATTTCACCAGATTTTATTTCCTGGGTTTGTTTGTATCACTTTGTTCAAATTTTAGTATCTTTTGAAAAGCACTGAAAATCAAATGCAAGGAAGCACTTAACTTCCCTTGTATAACCCTTCACACTGACTTTTCCCTGGCAGCCTCAGATGTGCCACTTTATGCCAGTACCATATAATTCAGTGTTCAGGACAGAAAGCTTCTTTACACGACGTTGGTAGGAGTATGGAACAAGCTACCCAACTACGCTGTTAAAGCCGATTCCCTGGTTTCAAGAAATAGCTGGATGAGATCCGTGGATTGATTCAATTCTAATTACCAAACTATCTAGATCAAGTGTGTCCAATTCTGGTCCTGGAGGACTGGTGTGTTCTGTTTTTCTCTCTGAAGCAGCAGAACCTGACCAGCTGGGATCACTGGTTTAATGAATCATGACATATTACATTGCTGAGTAAGTAGCTGCAAACAATCCAGGATCCTAGTCCATTCTTGTACATGATTTGTGTAAACCTAATTGTATGATTCATGTAATGATTCCACTATGCAACTCAAAAGCCAGCTGTATCCTGTAAGGCCTGAGCTGGAACAGCTTGCTGAAAAACAACTTCCAACCTCCAACATCAGATCAAGAGTTAGACAATCCTTGAAAATCAAGCTCTGCAAAAAAACACTGATAGCTAAGGGCAAGATGAGATTCCACACAGACTTAACAGAGCAATTTACATGCTTAACTGGTCAGTCAGAAACCTACATTAATGCTTTTAAGAACAAGAGCTGGCAATTAAA